TAAATTTTTACCCTATCAACAACTTCTCATTTTTCCCATCTCCTAGAAACCATTGTTCTACTCTGTCTCTGAAGTCAACTTTTTAGATTCCACCAATAAACAACATTATGCAGCATTTGTTTTCTGTGTCTGGCTTATCTCACTTACCTTGATGTACTTCATGTTCATCCCTGTTGTGGCAATGGCAGGATTTCCTCCAGTGCAGTATTATTCACGATAGTTGAGATACAGAAACAGCCTCAATGTCTATCAGTGGTTGAACAGATAAAGAAACCATGGTACATGTGTGAAATGGAATATGTTTAATTTTAAACCTTTTTCTCTCCTCCTTTATCACCTTAAATGTCAAAAAAAAAAAAAATAAGTACCTTGGAATACATTTAAACAAGGAGGTGAAATGTTTCTATGAGGAAAATTATGAAATATTAAAGAAAGAAATAGAATATACAAAAAATTGGAAAATCTTCCATGTTCCTGGATTGGAAGAATTAATATCAGCAGAATGTCTATACTACCAAAAGCAGTTTACATACAGAATGTGATCCCAATCAAAATACCAATGCCATTCTTCTCAGATCTAGAAAACACTATGCTAAAATTATGTGGAAACACAAGAGACACCAAACAGCTAAAGCAATCTGATAAAACAAAAATAAATCTGGAGGCATCACAATACCAGATTCCAAGATATACTACAGAGAAATTATAATCAAAACATCTTTGTACTGGCACAAAAATAGGCATGTAGACAAATTAGAGCAGAATAGAAACTCCAGAAATCAATCCACACATCTGCAACCAACTGATCTTTGACAAAGGAGCTAAAATCAATCCCTGGAGAAAGCACAGTCTCTTTAACAAATTGTGCTGGGACAACTGGATCTGCACTTGCAGAAGTGTGAAAACTTGCACCTTATACAAAAGTCAAAATGAAGCCCAAAATAGATCAAGTATCTAAATCTGTGATCTGAAACCATCAAATCACTAAAGGAGAACATTGGGGAAACTGCAAGATGTTGACAAAAGCAAAGACTTCTTGGAATAGACTCCAGACACTAGCATCCCAGATGGGCACTGGTTTATGTCCAAAATAATTACTTCTGATCCAGCTCCTTGCAAATGACCTGGCAAAATCAGAGAGAGATTTCCCACATACTTGGGCCCATGATCCCATGTGTGAAACCCAGATGAAGCTTCTGGTTCCTGGCTTCAGCTTGGCCCAGCATGAATGTTGGAGTCATTTTGAGAGTGAACCAGCAGATGGACGATTTTTCTTTCTCTCCCTCTGTAACACTGACTATACTGCTAAGCCATAGAAAGGAATGAAATTCTCCTGTCTTTTGTAACAAAATGGATGTAACTAGAGACCTCTACGCGTAATTAAATAAGTCACCCCAAAAGACAAATATCAAACATTTTCTCTGATATGTGGTAGTTAATAGAGAATATAACAAAAGCAAAGTATAAGGAAGAAACTGACATCTTATGATTTGATTATTGATTTTAACCTTTGTCTATACTCCTGTGGAACAACAGTCTCCATACTTTTTATTTGTTGAACATAATGACTAGTGGTGCATTATAAACTAAATTGAAATTACGTTATTGCAAAAATTAAAGGGAAAAAAGAAAGGAAGAAAGGAATGGAGATTTAGGGAGGTAAACATGATTATCAGAACTGTATTTATGAAATGCATTCTCTTTTTATAAAAAACTTAAAAACAAAAATGTGTATAAATATACAGGGTGAGGTCTAATGTAAATATGAACTTCAGCTAATAAGAAGGCATCAACAATTGACTGACCAATTGTTATCAATTTATTCTACCAATGTAAGACCTTAATGAAAAGGGAAATAAGAGTGACAGTAAGGGAATAGGTGTGTTTTCCATTCTTTCTGAATAATTTTTCTGTAACCCTAACGGTTCATTATAAAATAATGCCTATTAATATTTAAAAGCCAGGTTTGAAAAGTTGTAGTTTTTTAAATATACCATCACAATTTTCCCTGAGTAAACCTCAACTTATCACACTGAAAGACATTTGGTAATTAATTGAAGTATTTTAAAACATCATCAGGAGTATGGCCTTGTCACAAATACATTCATGTTCCCGAATTGTCATGTGCAGGGAATCTCCTTATTTCTAATAATTTTCTATAAACACTTAATACTGAGTTGACAAAAATATGCAGACATGCTGCTCAGAAATTCTATTTGATATAGAAAGTTACCAAACGTAGTTCATAATTAGAAGCATCATTTCATGAATATGAAAAACTTAATCTAGGAAACTAATCCAAATATTGACTGTGAACTCTCAGGGGTAAAGGCAACCACTAAGCAAAGAAAACATTCAATTGACTTATGCCTAGATGTTATTCCCAAGGTTCTTTTTACAGGTGCTGAGGTACAATGCAAATGAGTATATACACACATCCCCTCTGAATTCTCACAAGCGAGATCTTTTTATCCAAGACCTAAGACTAATCACTGTGAGAGGTGCCAAGAGGAAATTCATAATCTGCCTTTTGTTCCCAATGATTTAGAAAAAAATACAGGCCGGCGCCGCGGCTCACTAGGCTAATCCTCCGCCTAGCGGCGCCGGCACACCGGGTTCTAGTCCCGGTCGGGGCGCCGGATTCTGTCCCGGTTGCCCCTCTTCCAGGCCAGCTCTCTGCTGTGGCCAGGGAGTGCAGTGGAGGATGGCCCAGGTGCTTGGGCCCTGCACCCCATGGGAGACCAGGAAAAGCACCTGGCTCCTGGCTCCTGCCATCGGATCAGCGCGGTGCGCCGGCCGCAGCGCGCTGGCCGCGGCGGCCATTGGAGGGTGAACCAACGACAAAAGGAAGACCTTTCTCTCTGTCTCTCTCTCTCACTGTCCACTCTGCCTGTCCAAAAAAAAAAAAAAAAAAAAAAAGAAAAAAATACAAAACAAAACAAAACTATGTCTCTAAAAGGTAAATTAGAACATTGCTGCAGTGAAAACTGTGCATTATGTAATTGTTATCCTTGGATCTGAAGATAGGTTCTACATACTCAGTAGTGACTGTCACTCTTGAACAGCATTCCTCCAGTGCCCATGTTTCTTTCTATATAAAATTGGGGTGATAACAATTTATTTTATATAGTAGCAGTGATGCTTAAATTGGATATTACATGTAAAGTGTTTAGAAGAGATTTTAGGAAAATATATAGTATATTGTAAGTACCAATAAATATTTTTAATCATTATTTATATTACTACTATATTGTCAATTTCTGTGCTATGTGGTAACTTCTATTTAAATTTGTTATATTTAAATATGCAACTGTTTTCTACATTATGGTTATACAGAAAAGACTGGCAATGCTAGGAGGCAACTGGAGAAATCAAACAAACTTTCAGTTTTAAGGACATTATAAAATAGTGATTACCTCCATATTTAAAAAAAATCATGTAAATATATTTGTCTTTTGGAATTTTCATTAAAATCTCCATATTTATTGTATGTGTTTGCTCTCAGACTAGAAATCTTATACTTTTGTCCTGAACTGGAAAGGAGAAGAGAGGAGAGGAGAGGAGAGGAGAGGAGAGGAGAGGAGAGGAGAGGAGAGGAGAGGAGAGGAGAGGAGAGGAGAGGAGAGGAGTGAGAGAGAGAGGAAGCAGTGTGAAGGAGAATAGGACAAGCACACGCTCATAATGTGATGATTTTCTCTCCTTCCTTGCTAGAGGTCAGGATAAGGTGAAAAGGAAGATTTCAATGAATACAAGTGATGTTGATAGCTTTCTTGCAATACAGTGTAATCTTGGTGCTGTGAAGACTCACATGAAAACTGCAGCTTGTGTAGATTCTAGATTAGATAGAGTTTTTCTTTTTTTTTCTTTTTTAGAATTAATAACATTGATTCTCCACAATTTTGGAGCTTCCTAAGAGTTAAAGCCACAAAGTGTTGATAAACATGCACTATTTATTTACCAAAAGTATTAATTTTTATTATAAGATTGAATTTTTTGTAGCTCTGAATAATGAATAATTTTACATTTGGGGTATTTTTTAGAGAATAACCATTTTTAGTTTAACATGCTATTTGATATACTAAAATTAGAACCCTTATTATATTTAAGAAGTTGCTGTGGGTTCATCTTGTACTCTTGTCAGTAGATAGAAAAATGATAGTCACTCTACTCTAGAGAAAGCTCTGTCAGAGTTAAGTATGAAATTATTAATAGACTTCACATTTGACAGTGAGTTTTGCTACTCTGATGGAAGCATACTGTACTCTGAATTGTGATTTATCTAATTTGATTTCATGTTGTAATCCTTGTGAGGCAGTACTGATTAGAGCAGGAATATGTCATACTTTGTACAGCACATTAAATTACATAATTCACTCATAACCATCAAAGGTTTCATGGAAAAGCAGATGAGTAATGATTTTTTCTTTGTGATAGAAAATTTGGCTAAGGGAATATTTTTCATTACCTTAGGAAGGGAAAAATTGTTGGCAAGTTCATGCTGCCTGTGGTTACATGTCAAGTTGCCATTTCACTCCTCTCCTCTTATTCAATTTGTAAATGCAGACGTGGACTACCCTATCCAGTCTTCCATTCAGTTTTATGGAAAGAAAATAAAAGGCACTTTTATGTAATTAAAAATTTATTGTCAAGTTAGAAAGACAAAAATCAAATAGGTGCAATAAAAGTTTAAGACATAGACATAAATTATATGGTTAGAACAATTGTTATAAGAAAAAAGAATGCAATTCTTAAATCTTCTGATTCACTTTTTTTTTTTTTTTTTTTTGCAAAGACAACAAACTTCCCTGTAAAAGAAAAGGCATATGTCCACAATCATTGAATTATTTAAGTAACTTATCTGGGACCACTTTATTGTTTTTCTTGCTCCTTCCACATCATTATGCTAAAAGCAATGATTACGTCTTAACAAGGAAGAAAGAATACTTGCTAATTTCCTAATAATGCTTACTGCATTTTTCTTTCTGATTTTCATGAAATAGAATCCGACCATCTCTCAGTAGTGAAATCCAACCATACAGCTACTCAGTTCACCACCTTTCTGCTGACTGGTGTCCCAGGTTTGGAAGACTTGCAGATTTGGATCTCCATCCCTTTCAGCTTCATGTACCTCCTGGCTGTGATCGGCAATGGCCTGGTCACGGCAGTGGTGGCTCAGGACAGGAGCCTCCATGAACCCATGTATCTTCCTGGCGATGCTGGCCCTCAACGATGTCCTGCTTTGTACTGTCACTGTGCCTCAAATGCTTCTCATCTTCTGGAAGGGCCCTTCCCTGGTAACGTTTCCTGCTTGCCTCACTCAGATGTTTTTTGTCCATGCTTTGTTCCTCTCTGAATCTGCTGTTCTATTGGCCATGGCGTTTGATCGCTATGTGGCTATCTGTGCACCTCTCCATTATGCTACCCTACTTACAAGCTCTCTCATTGGCAAGGTGGGCCTGGTTCTGGTGGCTCGGAGCGTGGCTGTGGTCACTCCCGGTGTCCTCCTGGTTCTGAGGCTCCACTTCTGCCGGAGCAACCTCATCCGCCACACCTATTGTGAGAACATGGGCATTGCTAAGTTGGCCTGCAACAGCATTGCACTTAACAGCATTTATGGGCTCACTGCTGCTCTCCTCACCACAGGGCTGGACTTTGTCCTCATCTCCCTGTCCTACTGGCTTATCCTGAAAACAGTCTTCCGACTACCTTCTAGGGAAGCCCGGAAAAAGGCCTTTGGAACCTGTGGAGCTCATTTATGTGTCATCTTATTATTTTACACTCTAGCCTTCTTTTCCTTCTTTACCCACCACTTTGGGCACCATGTGCCTGGGCACATCCTTATACTCTTGGCAAACCTCTACTTACTGATGCCACCCACCCTGAACCCCATTGTCTATGGGGTAAAGACCAAGGAGATAAGAGTGCGAGTACTAGGACTCTGTAGCCAACTGAAATGAACCAAGAGAGATGAAGAAAAGAGGAACAGGGGTGCCTAGGATGGGTGAAAATGTTTTAAATATCAAGTCTGATTAATGTTGGAATATGTACTTCCAGAATATCTCAGCTTTGATTAGAATTTAAAATATTTATATTTCATGCTATCTTCCTAAGGTGGAGCTAACAAGAAACAGGCATGGAATTTAGACACCACAAGGAGTATTTCAATGTATTAAAATAATAATCAGTGGAATGTCAGCATAATAGAGTATGAAATTTGGGGCTAGTGTTGTGGCACAGTGGGTTAAGCCACTGTCTGCAAAACCAGCATCAAATATAAGTGCTCATTCAAGTCCCTGCAGCTCCCTGCTGATGTGCCTGGGAAAGCAGTGGAGGATGGCCCAAATGTGTGGGTTCCCACACCCATGTAAGAAACCCAGAAGAAGTTCTTGGCTTCTGGCTCTGCCTGGTCCAGCTCCAGCCATTGCATTCACTTGGAGTGAATCAGAGGATGAAAGAATCTTTCTTGGTCTCTCACTCTCCTTTTCTCTCTTTTATCTTTCCCTCTATCTCTGTAATTCTTATAAATATATGAATAGATACTTTTAAAAAAGAAATTTAAATGCATTTTCGGTATAGATAACACCAGCTCTATTCCAATTTCCTATGGAGAAGATAGAATGTGAAATGCATGATATCAGGGGTTACTTCTTATCCCAGCATGACCATTGAAATCACAGGAACCAGAAGATGCAGGTAATTTAATACATGTTACCTGAACAGAAAAATGCTTAATCACTCAAATAGTAGTAATTGTGAATGATTTATAAATGGAATCCTTGATATGTTCTTATATATAAGACCTATAGATCAAATAGGTTAAATTCTTGGTTTTCTTTCTTCTTAATACTTCCATTAGTTTTCAAAAGATGTCTATTTTTATCTCCTTTATTATTTATTGTAATATAGCATCTTGTGACTACACACTCTAGAAATCACTTTTGATTAGATTAAATGAGCAAGAAAGCAGGCTATTACAAGGAAACATTCTGAGTTGTGTTAGGACATCAGAGAATGTAAAATAAGTAAGTATGACTCAGAGGGACAAATACTAGGCTGCTATAGGACCTCCAAGGCAGGAAAGCAGGTACTTCTTTACTGAGTTTGGTGACACCAACTTGTCTCAGACACAATATTTGCAGGGCAGTGAATATAATTGTCTCCAATTAGGTCTGACTGCAAGACCCAGATTACTTGGTAGTATCTTCAGTATTCTGATTTAATAGGAACAAGGCTATCCCAAGGCAGTTCTCCAGACGAAAAAATCATGGCATCTGATTAGGATTATGTTCACTGGATAAATTTTACTCTTAAAAATTTATTTTCTTAGTTACTTAGTTGAGAGGCACAGAGATAGAGAAACATACAGATATAAATAGAAAAAGACCTCCCATGGACTGAACAGAACCAAAGCCAGGAACTGGGTGCTCAACATAGATGGCAATAGCTCAATCACTTGGATCATCATCACTGTCTGCCAGGATCTGCATTTGTAGGAAGCAGGAGTCTGGAAGCAGAGATAGATTATCTAGCACAGGTACTCAGATATGGAATCCAGGCATCTTAACTGCTAGCTGAACATCTACTGCTCATTTCATGTATTTTATAAGCATGTAAAATTTTCTTAGCTTTCCTCTTCCTACATCAGTCTTGTTATTTACATGTTGTAGTATCTAGGTGATATTTTATCATTTATAAACCCATTTACCCTAATTACTGTGATTATAATTCCTTTTATATACTAGAAAATATTTATCTCTAAGTTAACAAAATAATTAAAATATTTCCCATCACATAGATAAAAATAAATAAAATAATTATTCAAAATAATAAAATAAAGTAATAATAATTAACAATAAAATATATTATGCCATCTGGTGGTTTAATTAAATGGATTGTCTTAAAAATTTATATTGGTATTATTCTTTTTACAAATGTGCATAACTGTTTATAGATTCTATGTATAATCAAGTCATTATCTGTACTGTTCTCTTTTCACATTTATTTGAAAGGCAGAGAGACAGACTGACAAACAAAGAGAGATCTTCCACTTGCTGGTTCACTCCCTAATTGCCTGTGGCAGTCAGGCCTATACCACACTGAAGACAGGGGCCCAGAACACAATTTGGGTTTCTCACATGAGTGGCAGGAACCAGAGTAGTTGAGCTGTTTCCTGCTGCCTCCCAATATATTAATTAGCAGGGAACTATAATCAGGAGCAGGAACTGCGAATTGAAGCCAGACATTCCACTGTGGGATATGGCTCTCCAAAGCAACATCTGAACCACTGTGACAAATTCTCATCATCAAAGTTTTCTTAAAAATTATTATTTTGTTATAACATCATATAATTATGATTAGTTATAAATAAGACTAAAGGACTGAAAGCCTACGTGGGATAATGAAAAAGCAATTACTAATAACACTTTGTGTGTTTTTTATAAAATTGCTGAACACTTTATTGGTAAAGACAGTAGAAGTCTCTGCTATTTTTTTTCATGGCCATTGTGTTTGCCCAGAAAGTAATTTTGTAGCATAAAGTTGACCAATGCATAATCAATAGCACCTGTCATTATGAATAATTACATTCTATTTTTGCCTTAAGATGGGGGTTGGAATACAAAATTTTTGATTATTATTTGGGCTTCTTGGTATTTTACAGATTCTTCAACAATGCAGAGAATTCTTTCAAAGGCAAATAAATCACACAATGTTATCTAAGAAGATAATACAAGCAGGAAAATCTTGTAACATAAACCACACACAAATGAGATAGATGCTTCACAGTATTATGATTGGACAAGAACAAGAATGCTTTTGGATTTAAAAGTGATAACTTTTACCAGAGAACTGAATTCCAACCATTATTCCATTATTACATTTCCCAAAGTAAGAAAAATCTTCTGTTCTCAATTCATAGTACACACTTGCCTATTTTTTCCTTTCATTATTTTTTTATTTTTTTAACTTTTATTAATAAATATAAATTTCGAAAGTACAACTTTTGAATTATAGCGGCTTTTCCCCCCATAACCTCCATCCCACCCGCAACCATCCCATCTCCCACTCCCTCTCCCATCCCATTCTTCATCAAGATTCATTTTCAATTAGCTTTATAGACAGAAGATCAACTTAGTATATACTAAGTAAAGATTTCAACAAATTGCACCCACACAGACACACAAAGTATAGAGTACTCTTTGAGTAGTAGTTTTATTCAAGTTTACATTCAATCATTCAGCTCTTCAGCATCTATATTTTTCTAGGAAGGATCATCATAAGTTCGAGTATGTGTGTTTTCTAAATTCTTTAAAGGTGTATTTTATAAACATGAATATAATATTAACAATACATTCTAAGAGCTATATTAGCATAGCATACAGAGAAAGATCTTCTGTCTACTGGTTTACTACCCAAATAGCTGTAATGGCCTGGGCTGTTCTAGGATAAAGCCATGAATCCAGAGTTTTTTCCGGGTCTTCCACTGGGTGGCAGGGGCCCAAGCACTTGGGCCATCTTCCACTACTTTCCGAGGCATGATAGTAGGGAGCTGGATCAGAAATGTAGCAACTGGGACACAAACAATGACTATATAAGGTGCTGGCATTGCAAGCAGCAGCTTAACCCTCTATGCCACAATGCCAGTCCCATTATTGTCTTGCGGGCAAGCCTATATCACAAAGAACTGATTTTGTGGGGAGAAAAGAGGTGGAGGATACCTTGGCGGATCTGCTTGGTCTTCACACTATAGATGACTGGATTGAGCACTGGTGGAACCAACAAGTAGATATGTGCCATGAAGATATGGACAAACGGGGAAGAGTGTTTGGCAAAACGATGGACAATAGATACTCCTATCATAGGCACATATAAAATGAGAACAGCACAGATGTGGGATGCACACGTGTTGAGGGCCTTGAGCCTCCCCTCACGGGATGCAATTCTTAACACTGAGTGAAGGATAAAAACATAAGACACAAAAATACCCAAAGAGTCCAAACCCCACAACATAATGATCACAACCAGCCCGTATATAACATTAAACTTAATGTCAGCACAGGCAAGGTGGATAATGTCCTGGTGCAGACAGTAGGAATGGGAAAGGACATGAGAGTGACAAAAGGAAAAGAAGGTCAAGCGGACCAGAAGTGGGACTAGTGGAATAGCACTCCTGAGCAGGGCTGCAATCCCAATCTTGATGATGAGCTTTGGAGTGAGAATGGTAGCATAGCGCAGAGGGTGACAGATAGCCACATACCGGTCAAGAGCCATGGCCAAGAGCACAGATGATTCCGTGAAGGAAAAAGTGTGAATTAGAAACATTTGAAACACACAGACACTGAACTGGATCTCCCTGGAAATGGACCACAGCACCCGGAAGAGTGATACCATTGCAGGAAAGGACATGCCCATGTCAGTGAGAGAAAGCATGGCCAGGAAATAGTACATGGGCTCATGGAGCCTGGGGTCTGTCCGGATAACATGCAGTATGGTGCAGTTGCCCACTATCCCAACAAGGTAGAGAAAGCAGAATGGGATGGAAATCCAGTGGTGAAAGTCCTCATAGCCAGGGATACCTGTGAAGTAGAATGTGGAGGACAGGATACTGCTGGAGTTTGAGGTTGCCATAATGCTGACTATTAAGTGACTGTCCAATTCCATGATCATCTTCTAATGAGGAAATTACAATGCTTGATCTGCGTGAGTCAAAGGGGAAAAAAAAATTTCATTGCTTACCTGTAGTCACTCATTTCCTTTGTGTTTCTCCATTTCATTGCTAGTAATTTCAGTAAAGTAAAATATCCACTTTATAGCCACCAAGAACTTCCTTTCTGTTCCCCCCCCCCCAAAAAAAAATCCATTCAACATTGTTTTAAACATAGATTTTCTTCTTCCAAAAACACTTTCTATAGTAGGACACACAAACTCCATTCCACATTTTAAATTTTATAATTATCTT